CCCCCCCGGCTCTGCCTTCCCTGGGCCTTGCTTCCTCCTGCCGTGGGGCTGGGGGTGCCTCTGAGCCCGGGGACTGTTTTCACAGAGCACCTGCAACAAGGCCCGGACGCAGAGAGGCTGCTGTCGTGTTGACCCTCAGCTGGTCCAAGGCGCAGAGAGCTGCCCCGTGCCCCGTGGCTGGAACAGCCCAGCTCCAGGCTGGCTCCCCCTGGGCGGGGGGCCCCCCTCTGTCTGGTCTGCAGAGGGCAGGCCCAGGGTAGCTGTACAGATGTTCATAGCAATAAATCACTCAGGGCTGGTTTGGAGATGGCTGCTGTGCTTTGTCCAGTGGGTGCTAGGCTCTGGGGCCCTGTTTAGCTCTGGGCCCCACATAAAGGGATGTGGTCAGTGCAAGTCACGGGGAGGGGGGTGTTTGGCCCAAGCAGGGAGAGCAGACACCAGCCTGGCTGTGATGCTGAGCTGCTTGGGGGAGTGAGGGTGGTGGGGCAGGAAGTGAGGCCTGGGCAGGCAGGTGGGGGTGAGCCCCAGCGTGGGGCCTGGCAAGGAGCAATGCCTGGGGCAAGGGCCCAGCAGCTGGTGCCTGGCTCATGGAAGAGCCCCAGGCTGGCATAGCGTAGGCTGCAGGGGTCAGGCCACCCCTCCGCTGGACGGCAGCGTCACCTGGCTGGGAGCAGGGCTGCTCTCACCACCACTACGGGGAGATCCCTGGAGCCTGCACCCCCACTAGTCCCCCAGGCCTTGTCACTCACGGATGGGGACAGAGCCCCTCAGGCTAGAACTGGTGTTATGGCTGGCACCCCCCCCGTGCAGGAACCAGGCCCCAGGCAGCTCTATAAAAAACACACTGAGCATTTATTGGGATGGCCCCAAGTCCACTGCTGCCCCCCCAACGGGCCGCCAGGCAGGAGGTTGGTACCCACCACCCTCACTCCCCCAAGCCTCTGCTCAGCCCCGGGCAGCCAATCCTGGGCCCAGCCCGTTTCTGGGGGAGGATGGTCTACTCTTTGGCGATGGCAAACGGCTTCTCCACCTCGATGGTGCCACACTCAGCGATGGTCACGTCCTTCAGGGGCCACCTTCCTCACCACGTCCTAGGGGACACCCACAGAGGGCCTGAGCTCAGGGGCCCGGTAGCCAGAGCCAGCCCTCACCTTCGGCCTGCTCTAGACAACACAGCCAAGGAGCCAGAGGCCCCGCAGCCAGGGGCGCTGTCTGCCTGCCCCTGCTTGGTCCAACAGGCAGCCCAGGCCCTGCTCCCAGGTGTGCGGGGAGGGCGCTTCAGAGGGTTGCCAAGAGCAACCGGCCCAAACCCCCTCGCCCCGCCCCACTCGCTCATTTACACAGGCTGGGAATGGTCCCTGTTCAAGCAGGTGGCACTTAACTCCCCCTACCCCCCATTCCCTCCCGGCCGGACTCCCCCCTTACCATCCCTTCCAGGATTTTGCCGAACACGACGTGCTTGCCGTCCAGCCAGGGGGTCTTGACTGTGGTAATGAAGAACTGGGAGCCGTTGGTGTCCTTGCCAGCATTGGCCATGCTGATCCAGCCCGGCCCATAGTGCTTCAGCTTGAAGTTCTCGTCAGGGAAACGGTCGCCATAGATACTCTTGCCTGGTAAGGAGACAAGAGGAGCAGCTGCCGGTCGCGGTTCCGCGCAGGCCAGCTCTTACGGCTGGCCCCGGGGAGCGTACTAGCAAGAGCAGCAGGGAGTCGCATGGCGCTGGACGGGCGCCCAGCCCCTGCACGTGGCAGCCCGGAGCTAGTCCCTGCTTGGACGGGGCTCAGCCCGAGGAGAGAAGAGGGCAGGACCCTAGATGAACCCCTCCCAGGGGCACGGTGGCCAGGGCTCCCCCTTGGAGGAGCGAAGGTGGTGCAGGAGAGCAGTCCCACACCGCTTCACAACCAGTGGGGGACCCTCCCAGTGCCAAATGTAGCAAGGCCAGAGCTACCGGGGGGAGGGGCAAATCGACTAGTCCTTAACATCCTTAATCCCATGTGGGGAGAGGTGGCTGCGCCTGGGGGTAGATCCTGTCCAACCCCTTGAGGAAGCGCACAACCCTGGGGTTTACAAAGAGGAGGATGGGCCAGAGGCCAGGAGAAGCCACGCAGAGACCCATGCCAGCTAGCAGAGCAGAACGATGCCTGACTCTTGGTGGTGGGAGGGGAGCGGCTCCGTGTGCCGGAGCCCGATGAGGAATGGAGCTGGTGTCTCAGTGCTGGGGACCACAAGGCTTGTGCCTGGGGGGCCGGGTGCATTCCAGGTGCTGACCGCACCGGTGAGGTGAATCTGGCGAATCAGAATGGCGCTTTGCCAGTCCCCAGGGGCTGCGCTCAGGCGTTCTCGCAAGGACAAAATGCCTGGTTGGTGCTAGAGGCTCAGGGGCGCCTGCTGGAGGCGGAGGTGCCGCGAGTTCAATTCAACCTCGAAGGAAGCGGGCGCTGCAAACTCCACCTCTTCACAATCAGCGGGGGGACCTCCCAGTGCCAAACGTAACAAGGCCGGCGCTACCGGTGCCGCTCCCCTTTGCCGGCTCGTGCGGGGCCTAGTGAACTTGTGAGGGGCCAGGGAGGTGAAACAGTGCCGAGGCTGTGCCTTCTGCTGCGGTGCTGGGGATCTCCCTGCACCGATGGCTGGGCCGCACGGGTCTCAGCACGGCTTCCATTAGCAACTGCCTCAAGCAAAAGTCTCTTGCTTTGTGCGAGGCTTATATGCTTTGCAACTATCTGCCTGAAGCACCGCAGACAAGAGTCCTGGGGCTTGCTATTAGGCATATGCAAGGCTTAAACGCTTGGGCCTGCGGCAAAACCCACAGCCCGGGGCCGGCAGTACTAAACAAAGCACTACTCTAACGAATCAGTCAACAGGTTGGACAGGGTTTTGTACCCCTACTCCCCGGCACAGCCAGGAACCCCCTATCCAGAGCGCTGCCTGGCAGGCGGGGTCTGAGCCCCTCTAATTCCCAAGCGGCCCTGCAGCGTGCAGGGAAAGCGCTGCCGCCTCTCGCCTCAGGGTGACTCATGGCCTGGCCGACAGGAGAGGGGCAAGGTGGCACAGCCCCACTGTTACCTCCGGTGCCGTCTCCGCGGGTGAAGTCTCCTCCCTGGATCATGAAGTCCTTGATCACACGGTGGAACTTGCTGCCCTTAAACCCAAACCCTTTCTGGAACAGAGGATAGCGAGCATGAGGCCGGGGGAGGTACGAGAGCCTGGGCAATGGCTAATAAATTGCTCTGCCCACCTCCCACTGCCTGTCCTCTTCCTAGGAGGCTCTCTCTCTCTCCCCCGCCCCCCAGCCAGGGCAGGTTGAGCTGGTGGTGGAGCCAGGTCTTCCCCCGGCTGCAGTATCGAGTGTTCACTCATGTCTCTGGCCCTTGGGGCTGGGAAGAGGGGGAAAGGATGGGACCTGGGGCAATTTCACATCTTCTCCGGCCCATCCCAGCTCAGGGGCCCGAGAGCCTTAGTCCCCAGCAAACCCAGAGAGCAGCAGGACTTGTCTCCAGCCCCAGGGCAAGGCGGAGCTGAGAAGGGTTACTTTTAGAACAGCCAAAAGGAGCTAGACGCCCATCTCCCAACGAAAGGCCCCAGTGACCGGAGCCCAGGGCTCTGCTGGAGAACACTCCCTAGCCCTCGGTAGCAGGGGAGTGGGCAAGAAACAGGGCTTCAAGTGCTGGGAGCCAGTGAGAGAGCTGATCCCTCTCCAGGGGGGCAGCTGGGCCAAGACCCTTCTGCCTAACCCATGGGAGAAGGGGTGTAGCAAACTGCCTTCTGCATCACACCCAGAAAGAGGGCCCCCCGGGCTCCAGCCTTGCGCTGGCCAGTGACGTAATAAAAGGGACACATGGCACTGTCATTCCCTCGAGGTCTGGTTCACAGGCAGAGGAGCAGCAGGAGACTGGGAAGTGTGTCGGTGACTCCCGCAGTCTAGACCATACACCCCCCCCCCTTACTCCTCCTCCCCCGAGACAGAACTAGAAGTGGGAGGTATCTACGGCGAGGCTGACGTACCAGGATGCTGAGCGCAGCTGCTAGATCTGTGTGGCTCTAAGGTGTCGAGGAAACACCCGTGACTAGAGGTGTAAAATCCCGGTTAAAATGTGAATCAGTTATACCTAACGTTTACCCGGTTAACTGTGATCCTGCGGCGGGGGACTGTTCCAGTCCAGCTACACTGCATCGCAGACTGCTCTGGCCAGGCCTGCCATGGGGCCAGTTAACCAGTTCCCCGGGAAGCATGCTGGTAAGGGGTATGCTTCCCGGGTAACCGGTTAATCCTTTACATCTACACATGGTCATCTGAGCATAACTCTCCTAGCCTGACGGGAGTGACAGGTCACTCAGGATCAGTCTAGCCAGGATTGCCACCAGCGTCCGAGGCAGCTGACACACAGACACAGAAGGGCTGTTCAACCAGTGACCAGATCAGCCCTGTGGTTAATGTGGATGCTGCCAACAAACACTCCCTGGGTGCTGGAATGAGCTCCCTACCGGTCCTCAAGCCAGCAGCTTTCTCCCTGCTCCTGGCGGTAGAGGGTGGCCATGCAGGCAGAAGGGCCAGTCCCAATTTATGCTTAATGGCAGACTGCCACTTGGGGCGAGTGGGAAACTGGAATGAGGGCCACTGCCCAGGGATTCACCTCTCCTGTGGCCAAGGCGACGAAGTTCTCCACGGTCTTTGGGACTGTCTTCCCAAAGAGGCCGATCACGACTCGTCCAACATCTTCCTCCCCGATGCGCAGATCAAAATACACCTGTAGGACAAGGGCGTCAGTATCAGCCAGGGATTCCGGATGCCAGGGTGGTGCGGTCACTCAGACGACACCTCCCTGCTGTGCCAGGCCCAGGCCCAGGCCCAGAGCCGCTCTGGCTGGCTGGGCTGCAGCCGCTCCTGTGCGTCAGTGACTCACCCACTAGCCACGGCCTGATGTGTGACTAATAAGATGGCTGAACTAGAGTACCTCATATTAAAGGAGGAGATTGACATAATAGACATCACCGAAACCTGGTGGAATGAGGAAAATCTGTGGGACACAATCATACCGGGATATAAAATATATAGAAAGGATAGAGCAGGCCGGCTGGGTGGCGGAGTGGCACTGTATGTGAAAGATAATGTAGAATCAAATGAAATAAAAATATTAAGTGAATCAACATGTTCAATAGAATCGCTATGGATAGTAATTCCATGCTCCAATAAGAAGAAATTAGCAGTAGGGATATATTACCGACCACCTGACCAGGACAGCGATACTGACATTGAAATGCTAAGGGAGATTAGAGAGGCTACCAAAATAAAGAACTCTGTAATAATGGGGGATTTTAATTACCCCCATATTGACTGGATACATGTCACCTCAGGAAGAGAAGCAGAGATCCAAAATGTGTATTTCTAATGCAATAATAATAATTTATAATTAATTTCAGAACATCCCAGTAAGGAACATACATTATATTTAATATAGAGCTAGGTAACCTGAGACTGAAGAGCTTAAATCATTTGGCAAATATCACACAGCAGATCAGTGACAAGTTCAAAAAATCTCAATCGACTGCCTGCTTTCAAGTCCCTTGCTCTAAGTACTGTATTTGCAGATTACATTAGTTTTAAGAGTTGATCCTAAGCATGCTAAATGATTTTCTACATTTTAGAAATGCTATATTGACAAGTTAGTTTATGTTCTCTGAACATTGCAGAATTGTGTTCATACTTTTGCATTTAGCCTTAAATGTACACTAAGAGAAAATCCTTATCTAAATTAAGCTATATGGATCACAGAGAGACAGCTGTGGCTTCACTAAAGTAGACCATTCTTTTTTTCCTTGCTAATCCATGTGATTCATTGCTCTAATCCAGGGGTGAGGAACCATTTCTGGGTCAGGGGCTGCTGACCTACAAAAAAATCAGTCAGGGGGCCACACACAAGGAGCCAAACCCTCCCCCCAAAACATAACTGTCACTGACTTGATCCCCGACTGAGAAGGATAGACTTCCCACATTCTCCTCACACACCAGAGCCTGAGTGGGGAAGGTGCAGGCTAGTAGATTTTGAATGCTGCAGCCCTGCAATAGGGTGCCAACACAGGCTCCCCAATGCTGGGGGGGGGGGGAGAGCCCTGAGGCCTTAGGTTCCCCACCCTTAACCATTATGTGTGTGATTCTTCCACTGTTTACCTCCAGGAGTGGTACTTACTCCTGTGAGCAGTCCTACCAATTTCAATAGGACTACTTGTGTAAGTACTAACTCAACATGAGTACAGATGACAGAAATGGGCCCTGTTCTTATTCATGGTGTGGTTAAAGTTCTGACCTCATTAGTGTCTGTAAACTTGCTGAATTTAGTGGGAGAAAATGAGGGCAGAGTCAATGACGTTATGGACCTATATTTTAATTCAATTTTAAGACTCATTTTGTGTATCTTCTGCTTACAAATAAGATCCTCAGTTTGAATACCTCCTCCTGTAACTCGTAGAATTTTCACTAAACACAGCTATTAGTTGAAACAATAGTAAAGAATAAAATTGTGAAGCATGTAGAAGAACATAATTTGTTGGACAAAAGTCAACATGGTTTCTGTAAAGGGAAATCCTGTCTTACTAATCTATTAGAGTTCTTTGAAGGGGTTAACAAACATGCGGACAAGGGGGATCCAGTAGATATAGTATACTTGGATTTTCAGAAAGCCTTTGACAAGGTCCCTCACCAAAGGCTCTTGTGTAAATTACATGGCCATGGGATAAGAGGGAAGGTCCTTTCTTGGATTGAGAACTGGTTAAAAGACAGGAAACAAAGGGTAGGAATAAATGGTAAATTTTCAGATTGGAGAGGGGTAACTAGTGGTGTCCCCCAAGGGTCAGTCCTGGGACCAATCCTTTTCAACTTATTCATAAATGATCTGGAGAAAGGGGTAAGCAGTGAGGTAGTAAAGTTTGCAGATGATACCAAACTGTTTAGGATAGTCAAGACAGAAGCAGACTGTGAGGGACTCCAAGAAGATCTCACCAAACTGAGTGATTGGGCAACAAAATGGCAAATGAAATTTAATGTGGATAAGTGTAAAGTAATGCACATCGGGAAAAATAACCCCAACTATACGTACAGTATGATGGGGGCTAATTTGGCTACGACAAATCAGGAAAGAGATCTTGGAGTTATCGTGGACAGTTCTCTGAAAACTTCCACACAGAGTGCAGCGGCGGTCAAAAAGGCAAATAGGATGCTAGGAATTATTAGGAAAGGGATAGAAAATAAGACCCAGAATATCTTACTGCCCCTGTATAAAACTATGGTACGCCCACATCTTGAATACTGTGTACAGATGTGGTCTCCTCACCTCAAAAAAGATATTTTGGCCTTGGAAAGGGTTCAGAAAAGGGCAACTAAAATGATTAGGGGTTTGGAACGGGTCCCATATGAGGAGAGGTTAAAGCGACTGGGACTTTTCAGTTTAGAAAAGAGGAGACTGAGGGGGGATATGATAGAGGTATATAAAATCATGAGTGGTGTGGAGAGGGCCGATAAAGAAAAATTATTTATTAGTTCCCTAAATAGAAGAACTAAAGGACACCAAATGAAATTAATGGGGAGCAGGTTTAAAACTAATAAAAGAAAGTTCTTCTTCACACAGCGTGTAGTTAACCTGTGGAACTCCTTGCCAGAGGAGGTTGTGAAGGCTAGGACTATAACAGAGTTTAAAGAGAAACTAGATAATTTCATGGAGGTTAGGTCC